ATGAATCACACATCAAATCAAATCAAATTTGATTGGCCACATATGCCGAAATACAACAGGTGTAGACATTACAGTGAAATGCTTACTTACAGCCCTTAACCAACAATGCATTTATTTTTTTATAAAAAAGTAAAATAAAACAACAACAAAAAAGTATTGAAGTAAAATAAAAGAACAGTAGAGAGGCTATATATACAGGGGGGTACCGGTGCAGAGTCAATGTGCGGGGGCACCGGCTAGTTGAGGTAATATGTAGATGTGGGTAGAGTTAAAGTGACTATGCATAAATAATTAACAGAGTAGCAGCAGCGTAAAAGATGGGGTGGGGGTGGGGGTGGGGGGGCAGTGCAAATAGTCTGGGTAGCCATGATTAGCTGTTCAGGAGTCTTATGGCTTGGGGGTAGAAGCTGTTGAGAAGTCTTTTGGACCTAGACTTGGCACTCCGGTACCGCTTGCCGTGCGGTAGCAGAGAGAACAGTCTATAACTAGGGTGGCTGGAGTCTTTGACAATTTTGAGGGCCTTCCTCTGACACTGACTGGTATAGAGGTCCTGGATGGCAGGAAGCTTGGCCCCAGTGATGTACTGGGCCGTACACACTACCCTCTGTAGTGCCTTGCGGTCGGAGGCTGAGCAGTTGCCATACCAGGCGGTGATGCAACCAGTCAGGATGCATCATCTGTGGATCTGTTGGGGCGGTATCCAAATTGGAGTGGGTCTAGGATTTCTGGGATAATGGTGTTGATGTGAGCCATGACCAGCCTTTCATAGCACTTCATGGCTACAGACGTCAGTGCTACGGGTCGGTAGTCATTTAGGCAGGTTATCTTAGTGTCCTTGGGCACAGGGACTATGGTGGTCTGCTTGAAACATGTTGGTATTACAGACTCTGTCAGGGACATGTTGAAAATGTCAGTGAAGACACTTGCCAGTTGGTCAGCACATGCTCAGAGTACACGTCCTGGTAATCCGTCTGGCCCTGCGCCTTATGAATGTTGACCTGCTTAAAAGTCTTACTCACATTGGCTACGGAGAGCGTGATCACATAGTCATCCAGAACAGCTGGTGCTCTCATGCATGCTTCAGTGTTGCTTGCCTCGAAGCGAGCATAGAAGTGGTTTAGCTCGTCTGGAAGTCTTGTGTCACTGGGCAGCTCGCGGCTGTGCTTCCCTTTGTAGTCTGTAATAATTTTCAAGCCCTGCCACATCCGACGAGCGTCTGAGCCGGTGTAGTACGATTCAATCTTAGTCCTGTACTGACTCTTTGCCTGTTTGATGGTTCGTCGGAGGGCATAGCGGGATTTCTTATAAGCGTCCGGGTTAGAGTCCCGCTCATTGAAAGCGGCAGCTCTACCCTTTAGCTCAGTGTGGATGTTGCCTGTAATCCATGGCTTCTGGTTGGGGTATGTACGTACGGTCACTGTGGGGACGACGTCATCGATGCACTTATTGATGAAGCCAGTGACCGATGTGGTGTACTCCTCAATGCTATCTGAAGAATCCCGGAACATGTTACAGTCTGTGCTAGTAAAACAGTCCTGTAGCTTAGCATCTGCGTCATCTGACCACTTTTTTATTAACCGAGTCACTGGTGCTTCCTGCTTTAGTTTTTGCTTATAAGCAGGAATCAGGAGGATAGAGTTATGGTCAGATTTGCCATATGGAGGGCGAGGGAGAGCTTTGTATGCGTCTCTGTGTGTGGAGTAAAGGTGGTCTAGAGTTTTTTTCCCTCTGGTTGCACATTTAACATGCTGGTAGAAATTAGGTAGAACTGATTTAAGTTTCCCTGCATTAAAGTCCCCGGCCACTAGGAGCGCTGCCTCTGGATGAGTGTTTTCCTGTTCACTTATGGCCTTATACAGCTCATTGAGTGCAATCTTAATGCCAGCATTGGTTTGTGGTGGTAGATAGACAGCTATGAAAAATATAGATGAAAACTCTCTTGGTAAATAGTGTGGTCTACAGCTTATCATAAGATACTCTACCTCAGGCGAGCAAAACCTAGAGACTTCCTTAGTATTTGATTTTGTGCACCAGCTGTTGTTTACAAATATACACAGACCGCCACCCCTTGTCTTACCGGAGTCAGCCGTTCTATCCTGCCGATGTAGCGTATAGCCCGCTAGCTGTATGTTGTCCATGTTGTCGTTCAGCCACGACTCGGTGAAACATAATATATTACAGTTTTTAATGTCCCGTTGGTAGGATAACCGTAATCTTAGGTCATCTAATTTATTCTCAAATGATTGAACATTGGCTAATAGGATTGATGGAAGAGGCAGTTTACTCGCTCGCCTTCGGATCCTTACAAGGCACCCCGACCTACGTCCACGATATCTCTGTCTCTTTCTCATGCGAATGATGGGGATTTGGGCCTTGTCGGGTGTGTAGGATATCCTTCACGTCCGACTTGTTGAAGAAAAAAATCTTCGTCCAATACGAGGTGAGTAATCGCTGTCCTGATATCCAGAAGCTCTTTTTGGTTATAAGAGACGATGGCAGAAACATTATGTACAGAATAAATTACAAATAACGCGGAGAAACATTCATAATAGTACAATTGGTTAGAGGGCTGTAAAACGGCAGCCATCTTCTCCGGCGCCATTCTGTTAATACCATCTGGTAGTCCGACGGACAAATCTGGGTTTTGCGGATGCCAGGAGAACGCTACCTGCGTTCTCCTAGTGACAACTGTAAAGTTTGGTGGAGGAGGAATAATGGTCTGGGGCTGTTTTTCATGGTTAGGACTAGGCCCCTTAGTTCCAGTGAAGGGAAATCTTAACGCTACAGAATACAATGATATTCTAGACGATTCTGTGCTTCCAACTCTGTGGCAACAGTTTGGGGAAGGCCCTTTCCTGTTTCAGCATGACAATGCCCCCGTGCACAAAGCGAGGTCCATACAGAAATTGTTTGTCAAGATCGGTGTGGAAGAACTTGACTGGCCTGCACAGAGCCCTGACATCAACCCCATCGAACACCTTTGGGATGAATTGGATGCCGACTGCGAGCCAGGCCTAATCGCCCAACATCAGTGCCCGACCTCACTAATGCTCGTGGCTGAATGGAAGCAAGCCCCCGCAGCAATGTTCCCACATCGAGTGGAAAGCCTTCCCAGAAGAGTGGAGGCTGTTATAGCAGCAAAGGGGGGACCAACTCCATATTAATGCCCATGACTTTGGATTGAGATGTTCGACGAGCAGGTGTCCACATACTTTTGGTCATGTAGTGTACCTGAAAATCAAAATATTAAGTTGAATTCAAATCTTATATGTCCTTTAAATACAACATTTATATTTCACTTTATAACTACCTATCAAAATTACTTCAACTGGGTTACAAGCAATTACACCAATTCCATGTAAATCTACATATTAAGTTAAATGCAATGTAATATTTCCTGTAAATACAACCCATTTTTTTTTATCTTGCGCCAAGTTCGTTTTTCACTTTGGAATTACCTATCTGAATTACTTCAACTGGGTTACAAGCAATTAATTCAGAATCATAACAAAGCATGTCTTCCGCCACATCGATGTGTGCGCATCATTTTCGTGATGTTGTCAGCCAACCCCTCTAAGCAGTGCGCATGTGCTTGTGGTGTTGAAAGCAATTTAGAAACTTTCATTCAATTCAAGAAACCACATGGATTTGTCAAATTCGTTGTTTGATTTCAGACAAATTGAACATAATTAGTTGAACCAACCAACACATAATTTTCAATCATTCCAATCAGTAAAAGCACTTCCGATTAATATACGTTTCTGTGTAAACTTCCCCTAGAGGAGGGTTTCCCAAACTCGGTCCTGCCCCACATAATTGATCAATGAAGTGTTGCTTGCCTTCACTCCGGGAATTGAGCTGGGTATTCAGTTCCTGAATTACGAGAATTGACCTGTAGAGAAGATGCTAACACCTTCAACTGTCATCATACTTTTTTTTACTGCTTCGCAGGGCTTTAGGGCTGTAGGGATAGACCTGTCTGATCTTGTTGGCATAATACCTTGACGCAGCCACGTGCAGATTTTTCCCGCTTGTTGCGCTTCAAGCAGGGCACAGCTTTTCTCGCGCACACACACCCTCCACACCCACGCATACTACCATTTCTCGAGCTGCACCTACTCTGCACCATTTTCCCTGAAGTGTGCACTTGTGCACTCCCCATTGGTGTGAACTGTTACACCAGTCCTATGCTTTTAAATCCATGTGGGGGAGTGCACAAGTGCACGCTGGGGAAAAGGGTTGAGAATTGGGACAAGCTTTGTAGACTGTTAGGCTATAGGCTATGGTAACTAAATAGGCCAAATCATTCATAATAAGGCTTTACATATTACAATATGCAATATGTCATTAATGTCTTATGTCATTAATGAGGTTTACCCTTTACATTACAGTGCCCTTATTACTGTATAATTATTCCTGTAAGTACAGTTGAACAAGTATTGTAATTACTAATTGTTACATTGCCTACAGCTATTATAGCCATTGGGTTAGGCCTAACTGAGCAATTGTGTATATAAACTCCCTATATGTATGTTCCTGTTTGCAAATTATTTGTTAGACTAGACATACTAGCCTATATATAGGCTACATCGTGTACAATTTGAATAGCCTATAGTTGTGATATTTAAATAGACTTAAACAAAACGACCCAGCATCTAGGCTTTACAAGGACTTCCTTGAGATGACAAACCTATAATTATTATCTCTGGCACTCATTTGGCAGTTATCAATTTTAACTTAGTTTTTAGCAATAAAATGTAATCATCAGACGTTTAATTTTAGCCTATGGCAGGCAGTAATAGCACCACGTATGTAAAAAGGTCTAAATTTAGATCAGACAACTCCGCAGGCGCTTGCGTCAATGGAATCCCGAGCGTGCGTCAGAGTGATGAGGACGACTGTGTGAGAACGATTCCATTGGCTCCTGACCCGGAAAAGTCACCGCCCCGTTTGCCATATATGGGAAAAGCCACGCCTAGAGCCGGGACTAACTGACGTAACGGCAAAATAAAAGTCACTATATAAATTGCGCTGTACCTCAAGTCTGAAGATTTCATTGCCTTTCTGAACTGTAAACAGAGGTTGTAACACATTTGATGCTTATCCATCCTCGGAATAAATGACAAGTTGGCTAAGGAATTTAGAGGATTTATAGAGCAGGTTAGTAAAAGGTCTTTCTTATATTTTGCATGCATGCCAAGTGCTCTTCACTGTTTTTTTATGGATCCGATTGGCAGGGATGCCTTTTTATTATTTGAAAACTTTACCCTACTAAAACGCTTGCTTAATGTAATGATTTGTTGCATTTTATCCTACTTGCAATTGCGGAATATTTGTTTTCTTGATCATTTGATAGTTGTAGTCTCTTTCTATTTTCTAATGGCATACAGCCAATTCAATATATAGATGCTACTTTCCTATTCGAGTAGGCTACAGCTGCTGAAATTGTCAATCAAATAATAAGTTAATAACATGTCAGACCAAATGCTAGATGTCTTGGATATCGTTGTAGACTTGACTGCATTCAACATTGAGCGCTATCACGCTTGTGACTTGCGTATGTGTTGGTCAGTGTTGCGACCAGCCGCACACTCCCCCAGTTCTTTATCAATGATTTCTCTTTGCCGCACTCTTCAAAAGCCCATCTGTAGCCTATGCTGTTATAGGGACTTTTATATGGGGACAATAGGGGTGTATTGATGGTCTGAAATAGCCCAAGTATTGTTTGCTGTGTAGGCTTTATGATTACATAATTTCGAGGCTTGAAATATTGAAAGGAAATGGTTGAGAATGTGAGTGGTAGGCTATTTCTAGTTTTGTATGATTTGCTCTTCATGGTCAGATATTTGAAACTTAATCTATGTGTATTATTTTATTATATTAAATAGGCTTATGCATCACATTGCTACCAATTTAGGATACTATTATGAAAGGCAGACAGGTGGCGATATGGCCAGTCGTTGTACTGTGTTCAAGAGGAGGCGGTGGCAGTATCGGATGTCTCACTATTGTATCGCTCTTGTCCTCAGTTTATCAGATGATGCACACATATCCTATGCATGCATGTTCCACACGGATTTCAGAAGTTAACTTGTGACCTTTTGATGTTGGCAACCTTTTCATAGGTCAAGGATGTTTCTTACTCTAGTTTGTGTGCAACAAGTGTATAGTTTCTCTCACCAAAGCACATGCTAAGAGATTCAAACTGCTTTGGGGCAGAATAGCCTACACCCAGACATGTTGTTGATGATGATATAACTAGGAAAAAGCAGTGTCTTCCATTTCAGGGATTGCACATAAATGAACGTTTTTAGGATAATTGTTTATTTTACATTGTGTTTAGTCATGCAAGGATGTCTTGAGATAATCACAGCTTAGACTGATTGACCAACAGCCTTCATTGTGGTTTAACTGACATTGAATTAAGACAATAGTTAAGAGATTAATTGGATCAGATGATTATAGCTACAGTTCTGTGAGAGAACACCTCCTGGAGAAAAGTCCTCCAGATCCAATATTGATCTGATATTGACAGTTCTGAGGTAGACATGAAATACACACGTCCAGCTGCTAAAGACACCCTAGCACCCCCCCAAAGCCCTCTGCCCTGCCACCTTCCCCTCTTCAGCTGGCATTTAGCCCACTCTGAAACCCAATCCCCTGGACTCCTTAGTACTGTCAGTCCTTGGGGAGGAGGGTTGCCCTGTTCATAATCGAAGCATTAAAAGCCAGTAACACAATATCCTCCAGCAAGACTATCTCCCCATAACCTGGAAAACCAGTTTTCTGGATGTTCTCGGAATCAGCAAAGGGGTACCAAGAGGGCTAAAGCTGTGGCAGCGTGAGGAGAGGGGGGGAAATGGAAGTGTTTCTGTATGGGATGATGTCTGGATGTGCTGTTGGAGAGGTGTTAAAAAGGGATTCCTAAGACCAGTTAAGTTTCTTCAGTGTTGTTGACTTGAGGCTTGCAGATGATGGTTGTAGAGTTGTTTACGGGTTATTGCACCTAGTTTGGCTGGGGTGATGGTGAGCTTGGAGCATAAGGCAGGTTGGCCTATAGGGTCTACTCATGCTACATTACTGTCACCATTTCAATTATTTCGTAATTTCAGCAAGGATTTCAATTATTGTCCTAAGTTAATGTTGGCCTCATGTTTTGATAGAGAACAACGACTAAGTGCAACTATTTGGCTTTGGAATATTTTTCTTAAATACTATTTTATTTTATTTTTTCTAGCGATGCCCTGTGTTCAAACTCAGTATGGAACTGTGCCCTACGACAACAACTACTTCAGCTCTGAGTTCCTGAACCTCGAACTCAGTGCTAAGCTGGCCATGGACATCGGTGCCCAGCAGGACCAGCTCACCGCCTCCTCCCTCCCCAGCATCAACACCCTGGTGGGCAGCGGCTACGTGGGCGAGTTTGACGCCTACTCCTGCCAGATCACCACCTCCACCTCTGCCTCCAACGCCCCCTCCGGCCACTCAGCCGGCGGCGCCTCCAGCCCTCAGGCTCAGCACTCAGCCTTTAAACTGGACGACATCCAGGTATACAGCTGCTACCCGGGCTCCTTCGCCCTCAGCTACCTCGAAGAGACGCTGTCCTCCTGCGGCTCCGATTACTACGGCAGCCCCGCATCAGCCGCCGCCTCCCCACCCACCCCGGGCTTCCAGAGTCAGCCTGGCCCAGTCTGGGACTCACCCTTCAGCCCCTACTCCCCAGACCCTGGGTGCTGGGTGGCCGATAAGTCAGGCCTGGCTCAGCAGCCCTCCTTCTTCACCTTCAACCCCACCGTAGATCAGCACTCCCCCCTGGGGCAGCACCAGGGCCCCCAGCAGGGTGAGGATGACCCTTTCTTCCAGCCCTCCCAGAGGAATGCCTCCCAGCTCCATTACGCCCCCTTGTCCCTGGACCAGGGGTCCATGGACAGCCCCGGGCTCATGGAGAGGCCCATGTCGTCCCCTAAGACCTGCAGCCCCGGGGCCAACGAGGGTCGCTGTGCAGTGTGTGGGGACAACGCCTCCTGTCAGCACTACGGGGTCCGCACCTGTGAGGGCTGCAAGGGCTTCTTTAAGGTAGGAAGCTTCACAGTAGTTCTATTATTATTATTATTATTATTTCACAGGCTGTCTGCATAGGAAGTTTTTATGATTCAGTTACATATAATAACATCTGTAATATTCATGCATAACTTGGCTCCAGTTTCAGTAGAAGTGCTCACTAGTAAGAAACTGATTATACAAGAGAAAGGGGAACTTTGAGAAATGTGCAGGAAAATAATCACACTGTTCTTTGTTTTTTTTTTCTCTTCTTGCAGCGAACTGTACAGAAGAATGCTAAATATGTGTGTCTAGCTAACAAAGACTGTCCAGTAGACAAGCGGCGGAGGAACCGCTGCCAATTCTGCCGTTTCCAGAAGTGCCTGGTGGTGGGAATGGTGAAAGAAGGTAATGCCATGTCACACTCCCTTAAAGCCTTCAGTGTCTAGTATATGTGAAGTGAAAACCAAGCTCGCACTGACAGTCATGTGAAACCCAAGCTAAGAATGAAAGCCATGCGAAACTGAAGCTTTACTCTGCCCAGTCGTAGAAAACGATAAACTGAAATGGTTATAGCAGTTATTTAGTGAAACGGAGGCTTGTAGTGACAGTCACATGAGAATCTCAGACACGTACAGTCAGTGAGAGTCAATTTCTCTTTCTCACTCTCTTTCTCTCACTTACAGTCGTCCGCACAGACAGCCTGAAAGGTCGCAGGGGTCGTCTGCCCTCTAAAGCCAAGACTGTGCCGGAGTCAGTGTCCACCACCCCACCCATCAACATCATCGCCTCTCTTGTCAGGGCTCACATAGACTCCAACCCCGCCATTGGAAAGCTGGACTACTCCAAGGTAAGACCTCCAGACATGTGACTCATGGAACATCATGTTATTGGTTGTCTGAATCTCTCTCAGAATTTAGCCAGTTGCTGTTGTTAAAAGTTAAGCTTCTTGCTATAATATAGTTGTTATGTAATTAAGCTTCTTTGATGGCAGTGATCTCGATCCCATTTCACACTACATGTTATGAAGAGAGGGACATCATAGGCAGTGAGTCATCCCTTTCTTTCCTCTCCACCCCACAGTACCAGGAGACAGTGGCTAGCCTGTCAGAGAAAGAGGATGCCAATGACATCCAGCAGTTCTACGACCTGCTGACAGGCACCATGGATGTGATCCGGAAATGGGCCGAGATCATCCCGGGATTCACCGCCTTCTGCCCGGAAGACCAAGAGCTGCTCCTGGAATCTGCTTTCGTGGAACTCTTCATCCTCCGGCTAGCATACAGGTATAATTACCACTGTAACCATTGTCTGCATCCCAATTGGCACCCTATTCCCTATGGGCCCTGGTCAAAAGTATTGCAGTAAATAGGGAATAGTGCCATTTGGGGTGCACACATTTACTCTATAATTCCGTAAACAACACAAATGTGTGCCCAATGTTTCTGCAATATATGTTAAGACTGTTCTGTGTCTAGGTCGAGTCCTGAGAAAGACAAGCTGATCTTCTGCAACGGCGTGGTACTTCACCGTATGCAGTGTGTGCGAGGCTTTGGCGACTGGATCGACTCCATTATGGACTTCTCCCAGAGCCTCCACCGCATGAACCTGGACGTGTCCTCATTCGCCTGCCTCGCAGCACTCGTCATCATCACAGGTGAGACACATTCACATACAAACACATGCACAAACACACACACACACACACACACAATTTCACTATACAGTATGTTTTAGTGAGCCACTTATTTGCTCCACTAGGAGCTGAAAGGAATAACTCATAAGTGTACAGTGCCTTCAGAAAGTATTCACACCCCTTGACCTTTTACACATTTTGTTGTGTTACAGCCTGAATTTAAAATAGATTACATTTAGATTTGTCACTGGCCTACACACATACCCCATAATGTCAAAGTGGAATTATGTTTTTTGAAGTTTTTACAAATTAATGAAAAATTAAAAGCTGAAATGTCTTAAGACAATAACTATTCAACCCCTTTGTTATGGCAAGTCTGAATAAGTTCAGGAGTAAACATTTGCTTAACAAGTCACATAATAAGTTGCATGGACTCACTCTGTGTGCAATAATATTGTTTAACATGATTTTTGACTACCTCATCTCTGTACTCCACATATACAATTATCTGTAAGGCCCCTCAGTCGAGCAGCGAAATTCAAACACAGATTCAATCACAAAGACCAGGGAGGTTTTCCAATGCCTCCAAAGAAGGGCACCTATTTGGTAAATGTATAAAAAAAAAAATATATATATATATATATATATATATATATACACACATTGATTATCCCTTTGAGCATGGTGAAGTTATTAATTACACTTTGGATGGTGTGTCAATAAACCCAGTCACTACAAAGATACAAGGCGTCCTTCCTAACTCAATTGCCAGAGAGGAAGGAAACCGCTGAGGGATTTCACCATGAGGCCAATGGTGACTTTAAAACAGTTACAGTTTAATGGCTGTGATAGGAGAAAACTGAGGATGGATCAACAACATTGTAGTAACTCCACATTACTAACTTAATTGACAGTGAAAAGAAGGAAGCCTGTACATAATAAACAAATATTCCAAAACATGCATCCCATTTGCAACAAGGCACTAAAGTAATACTGCTAAAAAATGTGGCAAAGCAATTCACTTTTTGTCCTGAATACAAAGTGTTATGTTTGGGGTAATTCCAAAACAACACATTGCTGAGTACCACTCTCCATATTTTCAAGCATAGGGTGGCTGTGTCATGTTATGGGTATGCTTGTAATCGTTAAGGACTCAGGAGTTTTTCAGGATAAAAAAGAAATGGAATGGAGCTAAGCACAGGCAAAAATCCTAAAGGAAAACTTGGTTCAGTCTGCTTTCCACCAGACACTGGGAGGTGAATTCACCTTTAAGCAGGACAAATCTACACTGGAGTTGCTTACCAAAAAGACAGTAAGTGTTCCTGAGTGGCCGAGTTACAGTTGTGACTTAAATCTACTTGAAAATCTATGGCAAGACCTAAAAATGGTTGTCTAGCAATGATCAGCAACCAATTTGACAGAGCTTGAAGAATTTTGACAAGAACATCCAGGTGTGGAAAGCTCTTAGAGACTTACCCAGAAAGACTCACAGCTGTAATCGCTGCCAAAGGTGCTTCTACAAAGTATTGACTCAGGGGTGTGAATACTTATGTAAATGAGATATTTCTGTATTTCATTTTCAATACATTTGCTAAAAGAAAAAAAAGTGTTCACTTTTTCATTATGGGGTACGTGTAGCTCAGTTGGTAGAGCATGGCGCTTGCAACGCCAGGGTTGTGGGTTCGATTCCCACGGGGGGCCAGTATGAAAAACAAAAACATGTATGCTCTGGATAAGAGTGTCTGCTAAATGACTAAAATGTAAATGTAAAAATGTATTGTGTGTAGATGGGTGCGAAATAACATCTATTTAATCAATTTTGAATTCAGGCTGTAACACAACAAAATGTGGAATAAGTCAAGGGGTATGAATACTTTCTGAAGGCACTGTAGTTGCTACACTGAAACAAGCATACCATATGCATGTGATATAGGCTATAGCCAAATCAAAATAATCCGAGTTTATTGGTCACGTGCACAGGATACAGCAGTGAAATGCCATTCACAAGGCCATTCATGTTAATCATCAAGATGTTTCTCCTTGTGGTTTCTCCTCAGATCGCCATGGCCTTAAAGAGCCCAAACGGGTGGAGGAGTTCCAGAACCGCCTCATCACCTGTCTGAGGGACCATGTGACCAGCAGTGGCTCCGATGCGGGGCGGCCCCAGCCCAACTTCCTGTCCCGACTGCTGGGGAAGCTCCCTGAGCTGCGCACCCTCTGCACCCAGGGCCTGCAGCGCATCTTCTACTTGAAGCTGGAGGACCTGGTCCCCCCACCACCCATCGTAGACAAAATCTTCATGGATACCTTACCTTTCTGAAAGGACAGATAAAAAGATGAAGAGGAGTGATTAAGGATGATGTGCGGGGACAAAAATATGATAAACTGAGGAGGTGAATAGGGGGCCGTTGTCCGAGTCCATTACATTTGGGACTTCTGAGTGTTGAATGTGGATAGGAGGCACCCCCCCCCCTCCACTGAAGTGGCCTTGCCCCTTTCCAGTACACTGACTTAATGACAAGTGTCTGATTCTTCCTGTATTTTTCTCACGTTTTAGTTTTAAAAACAAAAACCTGTGGGTGGCAGAATTGGGTGTCTATCTTCCAATCTGTGGAATTCTCATGGACAATTCATCCAACAAGAGAGAAGAAGACACGAGTGGACATTTCAAGTTTAAGGTCTCTTTTGTAAGTGTGACTTTGTGGAGTGGCTTTATCGCTATGCAAAATGTGTACGTTTGTTTCTTTGTACGCTGCAAAATATTGGGAGACAGTTGGTGTGTATGTACAGCTCTGAGGGAAAAAAATGGTGTATGTTCACACCTGAACACCCACTTAAACCCAAGTTCTTAAAAATCCTATGGAGTCTCCACATCCCAATACAACTTAATTTAGTAGCTGTTCAAAGTTGACGCGTGGAGAGACATACAGAGTCAAACACTGGGGTCTCCAGGTCACAAGCCTTTCTTAATGACAACTGTTAGGCCCTACATTTCAAAAGTGAATATTTTCACTGAAACTGTTATAAAATAATAGCCATTTGTAGTCCTGATACCACACCTTTACACCTATAGAAGGTATTGGACCAAAGTGAAGCTTTCTATCTGTCTGCCTGCGGTGACAGCTGGCTATTGTTGTGACATTTACAGCTCATCAACCCTAAAGCATTAATGTACCTAAAAAGGTGCCATAATTTTTACTCACACCACACTGCAACATTTCATGTGGGTTTTAATGGCAGGAGAATCATATTACTGAAACAAAACAATCATTTTCCTTAAAACTCTAAGATTATAGCCATGAGTCATTAAACAGAGAAACATGCCAGCAGAATTACAATGTTTGAAAAGTGCCTTCATTGAAAAGTTTCAATCATTAAATACTGAAGAACTCCTGTGTATTCAGGTTTTCATTCTAACCATCTCACCGCTATAAAGTCTGTAAATCTAAAACATTCAAACAGACTTGGTGAAGTACGACTGGCTGAAATGAAAATGTGCATACCAAGAGATACTTGAAAACGGAGGTTAGGAATCCCATGATTTGGAATAGCGTAAGAATAGTCCAGGGATAACAATCATAGAATGCAATTATTTTTATGAATGTGAACGATTATAGCATAGTATAGTTTCACAGTATAGCTGTAACATGGATCCACTCAAACATGTGGCCCTATAGCTTTCTATCCTTAACTGTGTGTATATATAAACCTCTGCTACTGCAAGTGTTGCCTTACACACGCTCCTTCAGGGGGAGTGTGTGCAGTTATATTATATGTTGTTTTTATTTTGTTCTTGAAATGAACTTCAAGTGATTTCTTAAGTCATTACACAGTGAAATGTGACAAAACCACGAGCAGCTAAGAGCACTTCAGCGTTCTAACACAGTATACAGATTTATAAAAATGTTTCCTGCTTCTTTTTCTATGTTTGTTTGTGACACGTGTGTATACTTATAAACAGAAATACTTTATATTTGTGAGTTTTCGTAATGTGGCACATATATATATATATTCAGAGGAATAAAAAGTGTAATATTACATTTAATATTAAAATACAACTTAAAAATACATTTGTTGCCATTTTTCTTAAAATGTCATGATACTATTTCACAGACATACTTTTATGATGATGGGTGTAGTAAATATTAACACCAGATTATGCGTTATCTGGTATCTCCAAAGAAATAAGTGGTTTCACTGCTTAAGATGACGTTAAAACCACAGGCGACCTGTGGTACCTTAATTGGGGAGGACGGGCTCTGGAATAAATGGAATGGTAATGAACACATAAATGGAATGGTAACGAACACCAACACCATTCCATTTACTCCATTCCAACCATTATTATGAGCCGTCCTCTCCTCAGCAGCCTCCTGTGGTTAAAACTCTTTCCTCTAGTCTAGAGGCTGTTCTGCAGCCGAAGTTGTACACCATTGGTTTGATTTTCATGACATCATAACAGGAAGCAGTTCCTTCCTTTCAGTAAAACCACTTGCTTAGTTTCTAGATAAGATTGATAGAAAGGGAACTTTCATGCTCTGTGCAACACAGGGGCACATGACGTTATAACTGTGTGGGCGTCTGTCTTTTCCATAGTGTTGTCTAGGCATTTTATATGATATACTCAAAATAGCTTATACTAACCACTCCACTCACAAATAGCAACGCTTTACAATATGAATTTTGGTTGTTCCCCTTTGAGTTTCTTTGTTATTGGTCTGTATAAACCAAATACTGTATTACTGTACATAGAGTATGGCAGAGCTATGCTGTAGTATCCCATATGGAAAAATAATATATTTAAATAGGATTGGGAAAATCTATATATCAAATCTATATATGAAAAAGAATATGTACATATATTTGTAAAATATATGCGTAAAGTACACACACACCTCACAACCTTCCCTGTTGACAATGTTGAGTCTCTATTGACCTCTGGTACCTTAGCATTAGGTTCCCAAAATGGTGTTTTAAATGCAAAAGATGGATAATTGAGTTGTAGTTGAAAATACATTCTGCAGCTATTGTGGTATAGCCTACCTGCCACTTATGAAACATAGTACAAATAAATTTGGTGTTTATTTAGAAAAGACACTTGAATCTAGAACATATCTGTACATGTATATATCTATTTTTTAAATATGTTGCTGTTATCAAGACTTGCTATTACCACTGTGGTGCTTTTTGAAATAGTGCTGTCAAGAGGAGAGGTGCGCAAAACTTGCGCTTGATCTAATTTTCCTAGCTATAAATGTGTTTTGTTGCACAAGGTGTTAACATTGGCACAGCACCCATGATCGGCAGAGTCTATCCTTTGCCAATCACAGCCCACAGCCCAGGGAAATTGGAAGCCGTGTTCAGCCGATATCCGATCTCAGACCACACTCCAGTCACCTGGATTTTAATGTTGGCAGCAAGAGTGGAACATGGGGGCATGAGGAGAAAAGAAGGGGAGGCAATATGAAAGCTCACACAGAGACATGTATTACAATTAAAAAGGCCAGGCATGCTGCCCACACGGATGGGTTCAGTCAGTGCATGGACAGATGGGTGTAGTCCCCATTCAGGGCTGACAGAGGCTAGACGTCTTCAGAGACCAGTGAACATATAACCTAGGGAGTATTCTGTACACTAGCTCTACTTTCATTAGGAATACAGCGTATGTCTATATACAGTCTTATACACTTATGTAGTATACACTTGGCATCTGGTCATTTTGGCAGACACTCCTATCCAGTGTGTGGACATGGTGGTATCTAGCAGTAAAGGGAATGTTGACCTTTGAGGCCAGATACTGTACATTTTATCCAGTGACTTACAGTTAGTGCATTCAGAAAGTATTCAGACCCCTTGACTTTTCAACATTTTCTTATGTTACAGCCTTATTCTAAAATTGATTAAATTCATTTTTTCTAATCAATCTACACACAATACCCCATAATGGCAAAGCGAAAACAGGTTTTTGAAATGTGTGCAAATGCAATAAAAATAAACAACAAAAATACCTTATTTACACAAGTATTGAGACCCTTTACTATGAGACTCGAAATTGAGCTCAGGTGCATCCTGTTTCCATTGATCATCCTTGAGATATTTCTACAACTTGATTGGAGTCCACCTGTGGTAAATTCAATTGATTGGACATGATTTGGAAAGGCACACACCTGTCTATACAAAGTCCCACAGTTGACAGTGCATGTCAGAGCAAGAAGCAAGCCATGAGGTCGAAGGAATTGGCCGTAGAGCTCCGAGACAGGATTGTGTCGAGGCACAGATCTGGGGAAGGGTACTAAAACATTTCTGCAGCATTGAAGGTCCCCAAGAACACAGTGGCTTCCATCATTCTTAAATGGAAGAAGTTTGGAGCAACCAAGACTCTTCCTAAAGCTGGCTGCCCGACCATACTGAGTAATCGGGGGAGAAGGGCCTTGGTCAGGGAGGTGACCAAGTACCCGATGGTCAATCTGACAGAGCTCCAGAGTTCCTCTGTAAAGATGGGAGAACCTTCCAGAAGGACAACCATCTCTGCAGCACTCCACCAATCAGGCCTTTATGGTAGAGTGGCCAGACAGAAGCCACTCCTCAGTAAAAGGCACATGACAGCCCGCTTGGAGTTTGCCAAAAGGCACCTAAAGGACTCTCAGACCATGAGAAACAAGATTCCCTGGTTTGAAGAAACCAAGATTGAACGCTTTGGCCTGAATGCCAAGCGTCACGTCTGGAGGAAACCTGAAACCATCCCTAAGGTGAAGCATGGTGGTGGCAGCATCATGCTGTGGGGATGTTTTTCATTGGAAGGGACTGGGAGACTAGTCAGGATCGAGGGAAAGATGAACGGCGCAAAGTACAGAGAGATTCTTGATGAAAACCTGCTCCAGAGCACACAGGTCCTCAGACTGGGGCGAATGTTCACCTTCCAGCAACACAACGACCCTAAGCACACAGCCAAGACAACACAGGAGTGGCTTCGGGACAAGTCTCTGAATGTCCTTGAGTGGCCCAGCTAGAGCCCGTACTTGAACCCTATCGAACATCTCTGGAGAGACTTGAAAATAGCTGTGCAGCGATGCTCCCCATTCAACCTGACAGAGCTTGAGAGGATCTGCAGAGAAGAATGGGAGAAACTCCCCAAATACAGGTGTGCCAAGCTTGTAGCGTCATACCCAAGAAGACTCAAGGTTGTAATCGCTACCAAAGGTGCTTCAACAAAGTGCTGAGTAAAGGGTCTGAAACCAGTTTTTGCTTTGTCATTATGGGGTATTGTGTGTAGATTGATGAGGAAACAAAACAATTGATCCATCTTAGAATAAGGCTGTAACGCAACAAAATGTGGAAAAAGTCACTAGGTCTGAATACTTTCTGAATGCACTGTATGTGGACCATGCGGCAATCAAATCCAGACCCCTT